GACTGAATTGATGATTTATGGGTGTGGGGATTAAAAAGGGTTAAAGAGGAAGGGGAAAAATTAAGATAGCAATTACTTGATGGAAAGGAGGTCAGAAGCCATAATTCTATGCTTCCTTTCTTTTTTCATGTATTTCTTTTTTCTATCTTTTTTTCTTTTCTTTTGTATTTTCGTAAAAGTATTTTTACGAAATACTTTTCGTAAAAATATTTTCTATACTTTTATTGTATTGAAAAATCTTAACAAAATATTTTTAAAAAGAAAATTGCATTCAATATGGCACGGAATTTTCTATATTTTACATGCTACCATTTACATTCTAGTATATTTATTTACCATTTTTTTCTCTTTAAACCACTGATAGTATAGGAGAGGATATCCTGTTGCCCAGCAGCTCAGCTTCACCATCTGGCCAGATAAAACAGCTTGGGATTCTGGTTCTACAACAATCTTTATGCCTGTGAAAAAGATAGGAGTAATCTATATTTAATGCAAAAGATGGACCTAATTATATAAAAGCACTAAAGTTTGCTTGCTTGCTTATTTAATTATTTGTTGGGTTTGTAAAGCTGTCTAATCATCAGACAACTCAAGACAGTATACAGGACAAGTTAAAAACACAATATAACAGTAAAGGAAGAATCAAATCACCATGTAGGGAATACAAACAAATTAAAATAGTCACAGCATAGCAATGGGTTCTCAAAGCCTTATAGCGCAAGGCCTGCTGGAAGTCCTTATGGCTTCCTGAAGAACAGCAAGTTTGGGGTCATGCAGACCTTGGAGAGGGGATGTTGTATCAGTAGGCAGGAACAACAACAGAAGAGGCATAGTTGCAGGGTGCCATACAATGACATTTCTTCAGTTGAGGGGACCTGGAGCATGCCAACCCTATCAGATCTTGTTGGATGGGCAGAGACAATTAGAGAGAAGTAGTCTCAGAAATGACCAAGCCCTGAGTCATGAACAGTTCTAAAGATAACCATCAACACTTTGACTTGCACCTGGAAGCCAACTGTTAACCAGTTTGCGTATCAATACTCCACTGCATTTATCCAGAAAAGGCATCACATTGTTTGAGAGGCAATGAGATTAATGCTTCATTTAAACGTATGTTCATACAGTGTTCTATAATTGTTACATTTGGGGAGGAAGTTACTACATGTATCAACTCAACTATGAAATAAGATTTAATATTTACTGATGCTCACATTCTTTTGAACTATATTTAGTGGAAGTTGACTTTGGGACAAAGTAAGTAGATGCTTCATTATTTAGCATTGTAAAAAACAAACACATGACCCTGAAATCTATGGTCTGCAGAATTGATGTTATTAGCAACTTATAAATGAATCACTTATCAGTGTAGATTTGCTATGGATTATTATAATGAAATATGTTCCATTATAATTGAAATACTTAAGCAGAACTCAAATATGCGTGTGTCCCTGAATCCGTGTATATATACATAAGTTTTCGTTTTTAGGTTCCTTTCCCTTTCTTTCTTCTTTATAATTTCATATATTTCTTTCCCTTAGCTTTTTGTACACAGTCAATAAAAGCAAAGGAAGTCCGCCTGCCCCAGTTATACCTGATATTTCTAAATCTAACGTGTCAATTTAATAAAGTGGTATGATTTGTTTAAACTCACAAGGTATAATAAAACTTTGTTGTAAATTTTTTAAAATGCACAAATAAATGCCCTAGTACTTGTTATTAATCATGATGAAATATATAAATTAATCAGAATTTTAGAAATTACAAATAATGCATCAGCATTCACAGGGGGAGCAAGAGGGGTCTAATGGCAAAACGTGTTGCAATGCTGCACACACTATAAAAGGTGTGGTGTTTGTGTCACAGTGCAGAATTCATCATTCTAACAAAACCTCTGGATTCAGCAAATATCTCTGAATCAATGCACAGCAACTGTCTTGTGTGGCAGAATAAGAAGAGATGGGGTCGAGCCTGAATGGGTGCTGAATAAATGTGGATTTAATACAAAATTCAATAGAGCTAGTTTGGTCTAGTGATTAAGGCACCTGGCTAGAAAGCAGGAGACTATGAGTTCTAATCCCACCTTAGGCATGAAAGATGGCTGGGTGACTTTGGGCCAGTCCCTCTCTCTCAGCCCAACCCACCTCTCAGGGTTGTTGTCATGGGGAAAAAAGGAGGAGGAAGGAGTATTAGGTATATTCACCACCTTGAGTTATTTATAAAAATAATAAAGGTGGGATAATTGAGTAGCCTCTATGAAAAAGGACTTTGATATAGCTTGGTCACATAGAATGAATAAGGATCACACTGCAAAATATATGGAAAAAGACTGAATAGGCCATGAAGAATGGAAACACCAAAAAAAAGATCCTCAAAAAAAGAGAGGCGAGAAGCTTAAAGCACCAAGGGCAACGTATGAAGCTTTCTATGGATGCAGCTGAAGCATCAATGTTTTCCAAGGACAGAAAGATACGGAGAGATGTAGTGAATAGTGTTGATACAAAGTACACCTAGCTATGTTTCCTTTTCTTATCTCATAATTTCGGCTTTATTCTTTTTCTGAACTCTGCATAGTGTTTCTTAACTCCAAAAGAAATAGTGTGATGGGTAGGTATGTATGACATCTGCCATTCAAAATACACCTTACTTTAGCTCCTTTTGCTCCTGCAATCAACCATTACAAAGTTCTATATATAGTTTTATGATGATGTAGGAGATGAAAAATGCCTGGCTGTAAATTCTTTGACTCACATTCTATTTCATTCCAAAAATACAGAGTTCAGTTCAAAACAAAAATCTAGGATACCATCTTCTATTAATTTAACTTTTTTTTTTTCAATAAGTAGAGTACAAAGAAACACTATCATTAGAAACGATTCAGAAACACACACTTCCTTTTAAGCAACCAAGCATATTGCAAATCAAATCAACCCCAAAACATTTAATAACCAAGCAGATGGTTTAACAGTGGGATTCCATGTCAGGAATATATACAGAATTCAGATCTGGATTGTTATCCTTATATCTACGTGGGATTTTTCTGATCTCAAAATGCAGCAGTTTTAGCTTTTTCTTGTATTTTTTGCATCTTTGAATTTTTATCCTTGCATCTGAACTTTGAGTATTTCTACAATCATGTTTTACGCTGTTCTATGGTTATATCACTACAATTTACAAAGAACTACTTCCTGTTGTAAAAAATACTCTAAACACTTCAATTAAAACGTCCATACCATGATGTACCAACCTGAACTTAAGAACCAATGAAAAGTAAATAATTTGCTTTGTTCCTTTTGTATTAGATAAAAATTCCTGTGAGAGAACGTCACCTAACCGTACGTCTTTAAGCCAACACACTTAAAATACCCTAACCCTCTATGTTTATTCTACATTAGCAAACAGTAATTAAATTCTGTTTATTCTCTTGGACCTCACTTATGCAAGTATTGGGAGGAAAAACACTAATTTTTGCTAGAATAGAGATTATGAAAGAATTCTTATGCTAATTCTCAAATACCAAGCTGCAAAAAATACTATTTCAACTAAGGTAATGACACCTGCTCTGTTCAACTGGACAAGATCGATACCCTTGTCCTTTGAAATAAGATATATGATAAAGATTAGATATTTATTTCTGTTTGTTTATGTTTCAAATTTGGACACCGCCCATCTCACGAGGAAATGACTCTGGGTGGTTTACAATAAAAACAATAAATATTAATTAAAATACAATAAAAATAGTATAATAATACAATAAAACCAAATACATCCTTAAATAATAATATCTTCCAAGGTGCTGGTGATTGAAAAGATATTAACATATGGGAGCAACTTCAAGGTGCTAGCCACCCCCAGGGCTGGTTGCCCCTTCTCGCCCCTGCAAGTTGGCAGAGCCAGGTCTTGACTGCATTCCAGAAGATATGATAAAGAAGCTTAAAATTAAAGACGCTTAATAAAATATTGGTACTATGAATACCCATGTATTTTGCAATTATTCTCTACTGTCTCATTACAAATTGCAATTCGACATCAACTGTGAGCCGCCCAGAGTCATCCTCTGGGGGAAATGGGCGGCATACAAATTTAATAAATAAATAAATAACTGTGGGGGCCTCACCAAAATCCTGGATGGAAGGCCCTATGTCTTGGGATTTCAGACTGTACACCTCTGATACAGATATTCTGATATAATTACACTCATACTGCATAGCAAACCATGCTTATTTTGTCTTCCTCTGTGGTCAATCACAATCCTACTCTAAATTAGGGCTTACTTCATCATCTAAAAGGTTAGAATCAAAGAGATACAGAAATCTGCAGAGTGTTGATCCAAATACTTGGCCTATCCCATACCCTGCAACAATTTCATACTAAAACAGGATGTTTGCACAGTGCCTACAATCAGGGGTGGCTGGTTCCCACATGAGACCTAATCCGTGCTGTGTTTGCACTGCCAACCCAAAATCTTACCTCCAATCATTACACTAACAGAGCTATCATTCCATCCCACTCTAACACAGCTCACTCCATTAGGTCCTGATTTTTGAATCATTTACGTCTTATATTTGGAATAAAGATAAAATATATAAGGTTATTGTGTATTTAGAGCTAAACTACATGTTACATTTAACTCACAAACAGCAATTTGACTCTTCAGAGGCAGAATCCTAAAAGCTCTTTCTAGCAGGCAGGGAATATAAAACTGGAAGATATACAAGAAAAGAAACCTTGTTAACATTTCTTCCTTCCTTGACAGTCAGATTGCAAAATCCTTTGGATTTTTCTACTTGTAGGATGGACACCAAGACAATTACATGTTTTAAGTGCAAGATGCAACTTGTAACAATCAGCTTATTAAGATGTGCCTTAGGCTGAGAACTCAAACTCACTTGGATTGAGCAACTGAAGTGCCTCAGTAAGTTCCAGGAACTGCAGAAATTCTGTCAACTCTAAAACAGTACAGCCTCTTTCACCCATGAGTTGAAGGAGACTCCTGCTGGGACTTCCTTCAGGTTCCAGAACTTGAAGAGAACAATGCTCCAATTCAAGAGAACTGCAAAGAATGACAACAAATAACAATAGCAATAATAATGGAAACATCTTTATATACCTACCGTTAATTATGAGTAAGGTCTAGACCAGTGTTTCTCAACCTTGGCCACTTTAAGATGTGTGGACTTCAACTCCCAAAATTCCCCCGCCAGGATTCTGGGGGGTGAAGGCCACACATCTTAAAGAGGCCAAGGTTGAGAAACACT